ATGCTTTCTGAAACGATTTATGACGATTTTTCTGTCAGATCGATAGCTCATGACTGAGGAGTAGAACTCACCTTCCACCAGCCCATCCCGTTAAGCAATTTGTTGTGTTCCATATAAGCATTCCCACGGCCATTCCAATCCTGGTGATAATCGGAACTGCTGTGGCATTACCTGAATTGAGACAGGTTATTGTAGAAGAGAAGGATGAAGTTGAAGCTCGGGAGGTTAGATAGGAGGGGGGACTCAATGTGTTTTTCAACAGTGGCGGTAAGGAGGAGATTGCTCATGACACGTAATGGACTCGTCTGAAATATACCTCTGGTAAGTGCCGGGTTAGTGTGGAAGTCTCGAGGTGCTTCCGCATTTGGGCCTGCAGAGTCCATGGATGGTTGTGAACCGGGAAAGTGGACAGACTTGCTTGAGAATAATGGTTGGAGAACCCTACGGTGTTAAAAATTGGTTAGGATGCAGACAAGATTTGTGGTATGCACACTTCGAATGAATAGCTTGCGTTATATTGTTCTTCGTATTAGGTAGCTCAAGGGAATGCTCCCTACTCCAATCATATGGGTAGTAAGGGCTCTCAATATTTCAAATCTATTTGTACTTACCGGGGAGATTTTTTGTCACTGGACCTACTCATATCTGTAGGGATTGAAGCCTCCTTATTTTCTCTACAGTGTCTCCCTGTGCTGATGACCACCTGCAGCCGTAAAATAGTAATCTAAGAAATCCCCCAGATAGAGGTGTAAAGTAATCTTCCATACTCCCCTCCTCTCTCGATAATCGATCTAGTGACGTCAAAGGAATTCAAAACTGTCAACGATCTAATATGTATTTCTACAATCGAACACCCTTGACCTATGTTCATGATTTTTTTTATCTATTTAACAGCTCAAAACCAAATCACCAATAGTCCAAAACATTCCACCCAACATTGCCAATGGAAAGAAGCCAGGGAAACCCATAACGCAAAAGACGATGAAGCCAACGATCAAAATTGCACACGACATCACCCATTGAACGAACATGCCTGAAAGATAATCAGGTTTTTCAAGATGCACTCACTGATATCCCTAAAACATTTCTGTATTTAAATTTCAAAAAATAAATAGATACGGAAGTACCATCTCCAGGATCGTACTTTCTGACTGGAACAAACATAGAACCGAAAAAGAAGGACGATACACCGCAAGCGGCGAGACCCACCGTCAGCGAGAACTGAAACAGAGATTCTAGCTAATGTCGAATTTGGTTTTCTGGATTCACACAGTGCATCTCCTTATGGTACAGCCAGCCGAACCAAGCGGTGGAAGATTCATTTTCGGCCTGTCTTGTTTTCCGTCTGTAATTCTTTTGACGCTTTTCGCATCATATGGGTTTGTCTTGGAAAAGGCTTCATACGCAAGGCCAAACCCGAAGGAAAGGCAGATGGGAAGTAAGATATAACAGGCAAAAAACGGATCCTCCCTTGATTGGCTGGTTACTCTTTCCTCTCTTTTCAAAAATGACTTGGTATTCGCTACGGTTTCTTCACAGAAACACTGCCATTTCATTTTTTAAAGAACGGTCATGAAAGCTTTTCGCTACGTACCAAGCACTATCCACTGATCGTGAGATTATGTTTGAAAGAAGACTCTAACTTCATGCTCGATGAAATTGGGTGTTCTTTTCATTAGGTCGCATTGATTTTGACCAAAAAGCAAAGAGGATCCTACTGAGCCCTTTTTGGCTTCATTTCCTACAACATGCAAAAGGAAGCTGTCAATAATTTTGTGCCTTCCACTTAAAGGCACAACCCAGGCAGAGGTCGTGTGAACGCTTCCCTTCGGTCTGTAGTATAGACCCCTAGAGGACAATCACAAATGTGGCGTTCCCGTGCACGGAAACCAACCGACAAGAGCGCTTGGGCCTTGCAAAGTAAGCTGCTGAAGCTGCAGATTTTTTTCTCTTATCAGGCTGTTGTCTGGCGCTCTCTCATCTGTAGCGCTCTCTCGCCTCATACTCTCCTCTCCGCGCTTAGTCTCTCATTCCCTTAGCACAGCCGATTAGGAAGGTGAGTGAGCCCTTAACCTAAGCGTTTTCGACGGATTCTTTTCCTTTTTTCTTTACTGCCGGCCCATTTCGCACCAATACATTCGCATTCGTGTGCAAGAGCCACACCAATGTGATCCTGGGGCATGCCTTTAACCCCGCGCAATTGTGAGTACCTGGCGCACACTCTTTTTAAGCGATGATTCGCCCTTTTCAAATTCTAATGGTTGATTTCTTTTTGTGATAACCTAAAAGAAAAATTGATGACTGCCAATCAGTTTCATCGAGCAGAAATGAAATGCAACGAAGAAACACGGGGTGGCTGTATCATTTGGAGACATGGAAAAGCGACCTTTCTGGAAAAATTAGGATAAAATTTTTTCGCATTTTCAACCTGGAATTTTGTGTTGATTTTCGAATTCGCGACCAAATTTGACACAGTTTTCCTGTTGGACATTTTTCCAGAAACTTTGTGGAATTCGAGATTTTGAACAATTTCTAGGTGGCTGTATCATTAGGAGACGCAGTGTATACAATAGTTCAGCTTTTCACTTCATGAAAAATGGGATGTATGAAGGATGATGGAAAATTCTGTAGTTTTCTGGAAGTACATAGATGGTTCACCTTTCTTGAAGATTCGTTTCTCCGCAAAAAATTGGATTACTGTTACCTTGATGAACCATACGCCGCGGTGCCCTCCCCCCACCACTACCTAAACTACAGTACTCGCCGTTTGAAATCGAAAATTCACGCGAATAACGCGAATCCTCGTTAATTTCGTGAATTCGTTATAACTCGGTTCAAAATTGAGATTTTCAAAATCTGAAAAAAGCTTGAACTCAGCTCGTCGAGTTCTATAAGAATGTGCTTTTAAACTTTTAAAAGCCCTACTTCAGATTGCGCCATGCACTCGAGCTTTGGCTCGAGAAAAAATTGTTTGAATGTGGTGCGCATATAATCCCGCTTATGCATCATGATCGTTCTTCAGAGAGATGGGTCTCAGCAGTTGCTCCAGAACGCGCCGCGTATTCAACATCGTCCATTGTATTGTGAATGGATCGATTGCTTTTTTCCAGATTTCATGGTCCCTATTCCATAGCGGCGCGTTAAATGACTTAACACGTACATCCCTGCGCTCAACATCTCCTCCTCTCGTGTTCAAATGGAAATCATAGATCATTTTTCAGCAGGACAGCGT